AAGATATATCTTGGCAGACCTACTGTACTTTGTTTTTACATTTGCACGAGTGCAAAGAGCTTAAAGGTTTGAATTTTCGTCACGGTGGAAAAGGGAGTAGTTTTGATTTTGTTTGACATTGGGAGATTGAAATCGAAATTATGCATTCGCTTAGTTGCCACTGGATATCATTCACATGCCTTCACTTCACTGCCGGTCGAACACATGATGACCGGTCCAAGAGAACTGGAAAGGCTTTCTGCCTTTGTTTTCTGCCTCAGGTGTGCCGAAGATCGAAGTGTCCTTTGATGTCAATGTGGAGGCAGACACAGATTAGAAGCTAGATTATCACTATTATAGTAGAAGGCTGGCAGTTAGAATATTGACTACTTCCAAAACCATAATTATATAATCAAGGAGTTTGGGATACCTCTATGCATCACCATATTCTAGCTACAAATGTACACAGAAAGGGGTGGACTTGCACTTAGAGTTTGAGATTGCTGCAGTATCAGTTCAAGGTCAACCAGATCAACATCAGCCCTGTATACATATATAATATATGATATATATATATATGTACTGAGAGTGTGTTGAATATATAGTGCTGCAATTAGAGACACTTAGAGTAATTTCCAATTAATGCTTCTGGGGGCATTGGAGATTATTCTATATTTTTTTGGGAAGCAGTTAGAATTTGTGGCTGGATGAGAAGTCAAAGGCTTTAGACAGGATATATGAATGCGATTCGGGAAGGGAAAAGCATTGCGGCCAGTGCTTTCGTGTATGCCATATTCTATGTGCGAGTGATTTGTTGTCCTTATTCTATGTCACAACTTTTGCTTTCTCAAAATCACTAATTTGAGCGTATTCTATTTGCAAGTGATTGTTTCTCAGTTTAACATATTCTATTTGTTAGGACTCTACTATATAATTACATAAAACCATTGGTGTTGTAGAACTGCAGGCAGCTGCGAACTATATAGATGCTTGAGGGGCAAGAACCAACATACAAAGCACTTCCACTGCCTTACGGTCCTTTGTCTCTCCCACTACCAAGTGGACATGTCCAAAGATGTTGAAGCGATGTGAGCAACACAAGAGCCTCTGAACGACTCTTGAAGACTTCACTGCAAGTGCCTAGCTCCAGTCTAGATCCTCATTGACATGGCCACTAAAGGGGGCATCAGGAAGAAATATGTGTTGGGTCAGTCAGGATTTCACCAGTCAGGCTCGCCAGATGAGTGCCAAGAGTGAATAAAAGGTCCCGATGGGAGGATTACGTTGTCTTTCCACCAACCACGGCCGGATAGCTGACAGGGCATCTTGACGGTCTCTGCAAGGGATTGGGGCACGAATCAAAAGAAGTCCATCCGGATTGAGGAGCCTCTGTGGTCGTTGTGCATTGTTGGGCTCTTCAATTGTGATCTTTATGTTGGATCCGAGGATACTGTGCCTTGATGGTTAGCCCGGTTTGTACCAAATACCTGCCTTGCAGAAGTTGCTTCTAGTTTGGGATGCACCTTGATGTGTTTGATTGAAAAGCAGTGTTTTTGCTGCCTTTGGTTTGTTGAATCTTGCAAGTAACATTTACTTGATCAGAGTTTGATGTTTCGTCTTGAAATCTTTTCATGGTGCATATTGTACACTTCCCAATGCAACAAGCTTGTTGAGAGTGACGAGCTTGCACATCTTGTGGAGGACTCCGCCTCGCTGGAGGATGCTGAGGCTCAGTCTAGCTATCTTGCTTTGGTTCAGCTAGTGCGTTCGTTTCCCTTGGCCTTAAGTTTTGAAAAGGTGGCAAACCATAGCCTAGCAAGGCACAGCAAGGTTGAAGAGTGAAGCATTCATTCCTTTACATATCTCTGTACCCGTCAGGCTAGCAAGGTTTGCTTTGCGACGTCCGTGTCAGTTAACCGTGATTTTTGTCACCTTCGATATGTCTTTACGTTTGTTTGGTATGTGTAAATGATCCTGGGATTGTGGGGCATTTTTCTATTTATTCATGGATATCTACCCTAGCTGGCGCTCCTGTAGTAGTCCATTCTTATGGTTTCCGCTCGGAAGGTCCAGCGGATTTTGGACGAGGCAGAAGAGAAGTGGACAGAAGCTTGTTCGGAGCTTGCATGTGTTCAGCTGCTGTCCGTCCGGAGAGCACGATTAGATCACGATTAGAGAGGAAGCAACCGCCGTCCGAAATCTGTGGCTTAAGGATTTGCTTGTTCGAAACCAAGACCTGCGAAGAAACCTTTGCAGGCCACCCACCATCCTGCCGTCCGTGGTTTTCGTCCGAGGTTGGTTCGAGGTTGCGCAACGAGCGCGATCAGACCAGACCTGCCGTGCCAAGGAAGACGAGGAAGCGAAGTTTCAGTTGGAGCTGAGGCGCATGGCATCGACGGTTGGGAGTTGGGTTGACGGTCGACGAGATTTATTGTACAGATGTTTCTTTCAGAGGGCATATTGAGTGGTGCTCCTCAATTGCATGGGTGTATGGTTATAGAAATATGATATTCATATGTCATCTCAATGGTGACAGACGCCGTCACCGCCTGTTCATGTTGTGAAAGAATTCGCACCTGCTGGCCATCAGAAGAGTCTTGTTCTTCGGAAGTTTCACTGGTTTGAGCGGGCCAATGCTGCTGCAGGTCTGTGGGGCCTTGCTTTGTTCACTGCTTTTGGCATAGATCAGATCCGATCGCAACGAGCATCATCGAACAATCCTGACAACGAGCACCGCGCAGATACGCTGCCAGCAAGCTTTTGGAGCAGACCGACCAGAATCTCTTAGAGCTAGGAGAGACCGACGGGTTTCATGAGACCGGCGAGTCTTCCTGCAGAATTCTCCTTGCTGTTGTGTGATGTACATGAAGAAAGGGTTCAAGTCTCGGTTGCGGAATAAGGCATTGATTCAGCGGCCTTGATTGGTAACCATGCCTTGCCACCCGAGTGAAAATCTCAAGAAGCATGCTGACGTGACCGGTGACCACCCCTCCAGTTGATTCGTGCTGATTCCTAGACCTTTGCTTTTCTTTGGGAGTGTTCTGTTCTCATAATCCTCACTGGCCTGGAGGATACAAGGCCCCAGCGGATGCGCGCGCAGCATTAGAGCCAAAGATGGAGGAAGTCAAGGCCAGAGCTTCGCACGAGCTTCGCAAGTCCCGATGCCCAGTGAAAGTGTGAAACAGACAGGGAGACCGACTGGATAGGTCCCGAAATGCAGAAGGTGCTCGACTTGGAGTCAGACACTGATTCAACGTTACTCAGCTTGACTTGGATTGCAGGCAGTTGCAGTGACTGAACCACCCGCGACAGGTTTGCCTAAAAGACGGCGAAGAACCTGACTACTTCCAGCTCATGGATGCTGTCGATGTCGCCAAGCAAATGACTGGCCAGTTCATAATATGGTTTCATTGAGTTTGCTGCAATGTCAGTTGTTTGCCAAGTAGAGTCTACTACTAAGACTAATTGACTTCATGATTCGGCTATTTAGACGGTTTAGATCGGTTTAGATCGTTTTCTCCAGAGTCTGAGCGGGTGGGTTGGGCCAACCCCCTGCACATATCTTTGTTTGGCCAGAGATTTGACTTGTTTCGAGCCCAGTCTCTTCGTTTCGAGCTCATGAAGCTGGGCTTACGCGTGTATGGCAAGCAGGCCAGAGGGGAAAGAGGTCTGGTACTGAGGAGCTAAACCGTGAGAAGCAATTTGTCTACAGTATTTGGGTTGATCACAGCAAGAGTTTGTCAAAGCTTCATGGTGTGTATATATATATATATATTATACAATATATATATATGGTGTAGTAACAGTATGACATGAGGATGAAAAAACACAATGCTTGTTGCGTGGATACGCTGGGACCACTGGGACCTGCGAAGCAGACATCATGAGACACCAATTGATTTGGGGCACTCATTGAAGCTGGTCAATTTATATACCGTATGGGACAGGGTGAGTCTAGTGACTCTAGTGGTCACTTTAAACTGGCTACAGTACCAATGCCTGCTGCTGGATTTCAATCTCACAAGTGCAAGCATTTGTAGCCTAGCAGCTAGCAAATCCGTACGCAGGGTTTGCAGGAGGAGTGAAGGTCCTGCCTACAACAGCTGATGCCATTAATCATTGGGGTTACACTTTTGTCCAACATCATCCCCGACCCTTCCTGGCTTTGCATGCAGAAGATGTCAGACGCTTTATCCAGGGGTCGGAGAAATGAGAAAGCTGACGATGTCCTTGTTGGTGGGTTTGGAGAGAAGAGATTAGGTGGGCCTTGGGCCAAATGATTTTGGCTAGCACATGACAAGAAAAGAACAATTCATTTGGAAGTAGTTGATGGGGAAGTGGCTGAATCCGGCGGCATCCGCAGGTGGCGCCCGATGGCGCGCCAGGCCCTGCAAAGCCACGGTCACCGGGTGGCGTGACAGGAGGAGGATACGTGCTGCAGGAGCAGATTGCAATTCAAGATCCCCTTGCCACTATATCAGAAGAGATACCCTTCAGATGCGGATGGTCGGCTGTGGTGCTTTTCAGCACTTTCTAGTAATGTGGTATTTCTACATTTTTTTCATTTGGAGCTCAGGCCACAACTTGGATTGGTTTCAAGTTCCCTCTGGCCTTTGTGGTAGTTCATGGTTCATTTGGTAGTCCCCTTTCCTCTTTCTTGTGGACCCTGCAGGAGGACGAAGTGTACGACGACTCCTACGAGAAGCAGCAAGCAGAGAAATGGGCCAATTTGCGAAAGAAGGCGCAGAAGGTCTATGGCCCAAAAGGCTGAGCAGCAAGCAGACGACAAAAAGCGCCGCCATTTTTTAAAAGGCCCAGGGGGGTAGGCTGTAGAGGTAGTAGCTAGAGGTAGCTAGTAGAAGAGGTAGCTAGTACCTGCAAGTAGCTACTACTAAGGACGCAGGATAGCTCGCGCTTCTTCAACGAAGCTCACCCCCCTTCCTTGAAGAAGCGTTGGCACTAATGATTGAGATTTTTAGGTTTTTAGGGAAACTTAACTTTTCTTTATGCGACTTGGGATGCGGGAAGCTGGCTTTGTAATGATTTTTCATGACCTAAGACGTGCTGTGGTGCAAGAGTTTGAGGAGACCGTTTTGTGTGTGCCCCCTTGTGAGGAAGTCCAGCATGTTCCAAAGACAGCACGGATTTCACATGATTTGTGATCATTCCGCAGCTTCACAGGCCCAAAGCCTCGCATGCCGAGATAGTCCTAGGACTTGTTTTCACTCTGGAATAGACCTGCACACATGAGGAATAGACGTGTGTCCAGCACTTCTGGATGAATGTCACGCAGGGACCAGCTGCTTAGTCTGGCGTGTCTCTTGTCTCTCTCAGAGTGGACGCTGTGTCTGGAGGCACCCGAGACGCGGGGTCTCTGTGTGTCCCAGTATGAAGAAAGGAATGGAGCTTGGTTATCCATGTCAGGCGCCATGTCTGTCTACGTCCAAGCGAATCATAGGCCTGAATGGTACCTAAGCCTGAATGGTCTAGCGGTGGAGAAACGGCTGTGCAAGTGGGGCGGGCAGGGTATGCGGTATGCCGGAGTGATGTTCCTTGGGGGCTACTTTGCTATATTGAGATTGTTGAAATAAGCAGCTTGGTGCCCCACATGAACAGAGGCATACAGGTCCGGTCCGATAAAAAAACGGCCGACCTCATTTCTCGGGCAACTCACCCTCTCCTATGCTGCGCTTGGAGATCTGAAAATGATCTGAGGTACTGGCAGGAGGTCTTTGAACGACGTGGACTCCCTGACCGGGGAGTCTTGGGCGACGAAGATTCGCGTGTCGATCGGCTCTCGGGCGAAGCGCAGGGGCAGATCCTGGGCTGTGGGGTCCATGGTGGTCGCTACTGGGAGATACAGGCCAGGGGCTGAAGGCACTAAAAGTGGGTCGAAGCATGTGGTATTTGGTGTGTGATCCTGTTTTCTGCACTAAGTGGAATTGAGAAGCAGGGCCTTAGCGGCTGATAGGGTATTTTACCTTCACTACCAAATATAAAATGCAATTGCCGTATTTCCTCCCGAATTAGTGACAACTGTGTATTTGCTATTATTTGCTTATATTTGAGCTCGTCTTGGAAGTAACCCGCGAAGGGGAACCCGCGAAGGGGGACCAAATTGTGCTGCACAAAACGCTTGCTTGGATGATTGCATGTTGCAGCCACATGGGATTGCATCATGAGGAATTAATCATCCGCATGTGTTGAGGACCGGGTTGAATCTGAACGACAAAAATTGTTTTGTGCACATGTTGTCTTAAAAAGATTGTCTAAAACTGATCAGACTTTGCAGAAACATAGAAATCCAACAGTCCCTGGCATTTCTTGGAATGTTGATTTGAAGGCTAGGGGGTGTAATTTTCAACCAAATCCAAACGCGCAAGTCATGGTCCAACTCCCAAAACCTATTTACTGTAACAATTCCCTCCACAACCGAAAAAAAAAAAAAAACATGCTGTGGCTGATTTTGCGGTCCGCACACCACAACCAAAACCGCAAGATGACGTGAGATGACAGCCAAAAACTGAGCAACCAAACAGCTGCAGAAAATGCCAAACTGAAGAGTAACTGGCTCCGCTCCCTCTCACGCCACACATCAAACGCGAGGAAAAGTGTCGGCTGTGACCAGCACTGCTACCAACACTGGCCCAAGGCAACCAGAGTCACCTGGGCCACTCGCGCTGTGAGCCAAGTCCGAAGACCGCTACGTAAGGCCGCTGGCTCTACGAACACTTCGACGGGCTTTTTTCGGAAGACCCTGGCCTCGCCAGCGATGGCTGCGTGGCACCGACAGGCTGGAGTGAATCAACTGCAATACATCAGCGAAACAGACAGCCCAAGGCATACCTGACCTGAAAGGAACAGCAACAAAGGAAGGCACACCAAAGCAACAATCCCTTCTGACCAGAGTCGGGCCACATGTTCGATGAGAGGTGCATCGAGCTAGGCAGGTGAATAAACCGATGGTGAAGAGGGAGCAACAAGGGGAGGTTTAGACCTAAGAATCAAGGGAAGCAGCTGGCGACTCTGTTTGGACTCCGTCAGATGTACTACCAACGACTCTACGACCTCGCTCCAAAGAGTATGCGGACGAAGATCTTGAAGGCCTTTGCAGAAAGCAGTGGAGCTAACCGTCCAAGAAGTGGAGAGGAGCTGCCCCCCTCCATGCGTGTGACTCTTTGCATTCCTGCAGAATCCGGACAAGATTTAATATCTTTTTTATATCCTGTTTGGTGACACTGGGAGACATCCAAAATACCTTGCCCTGCTCTCCTCCCTAGGTGTGTTCTTCGTTCCTTCACTAAGGAGTGCGACAAACCCATGATCCGTGAAACGATCATACCCCGGTTCTTTGCTCCGAAGCATGTGGGATTGGAACCTTATGAAGCCAAAGATGCTTTGCAAAATGCCTTGGATGTCAATGAGCTGGCAGACTGGTCTGACATCAACATCGATTTTGTAATAGGTGCTGTACTTGCTCACAGAAGCTAGTTTTACATAGTTTTACTATGTTTTACTGCCGTTACACTGAAAATCTTTGCTTTTGCTCAACCGTCCCTGACGAGGCGGCGTTTTTTTCTGTGGCACGACATCATTGCACCGAAATTTGGATAAACATCCAGAACTGGCATTTTCCAGTCCTGAACACCTGGCTTTGCTTGGAATATGTTTTAAATTGTTTCAATAGTTTCCTGCTTTGCAGGCGATTGCTTGGAATATGTCTAATCGAACCGATATGCTTGCTTATGCACTAATTCTACTGTAGCTTGGTGCATGCTTGACTTGATTGGATCTCACGCCACATTGATTTATATGCCCAAAATGCTTGCGGATCCCTTCTTAGTTCTTTGCAAGAGCAGCAAACAGCGAGGGCCGCCACAAAGCTACACAACACGAATTCTCAGCAGATAGGTTTGTCATACGCTGTCTTGAAAACCGACGGGGTCAGGAAGAGGACTACTTCATCACTGCACAGATGGCACACCGGCTTTTACCCCTGAAATCAGACGTGGCTGCCTTTAACCAACAGCTCGAAGCTGCGAAGGAGTCAGACGGGGCAACGGTTTCTTTTCTTTAAAAGATAGTATATAGTGCCCCCAAGCACAACTTGCTAGTAGGACAAGTAAGTGACCGATCCTGGTCCTGCTTTTTTCGATTGCTCCGAAGAAAAGGGACGTTTGGTTCAGCCTGGAATTCCTTGATTTGTTTTGGACGTTTGTTCAATGGTTGGTGATGACCAGCGTGAACACTGGATCCAGCCAGGATGCCAAAGCCCAGGCCACAGGCCATCGGCCACACCTGGTGGGAATCCGCAACCCGATGATTTTTCACTTGCCCTTGGCCAGGCACAAGATCGCACGGATCACGTGCCTTGGCGGCTGAAGATGGTCGAGCGTTCGTCAACGTCTGAAGAGGTCTTGGCGTCAACGTCTGCTGGTGGTAGTGCCAGCGGTTTGGCCAAGTTCTTACATGGGAAGTTGGCAATGGGAATGGTGCATTTGTGACAAGGACATCCCCCAATTCCTCAAGTACCAACTACCTAAAGACTTATAGACGACCAGGGGCTATGACCATTTGCTTTCAAAGCTTCGGCGTCATGAGCATGAGGCCCCCTGGGGATGCGGCCCCAAATGGGTGGAAGGAAGGTCCTCAAGGTCCTTGAGGTAGCACTTTTCAGGCCACTCCCCCGAGAACATAAGACAACAAAGAAATGACATGCACCTCAGAATGGGAGACAAAGGATCAAATTTGCGATTTGACTTGGATTAACAGGGTGGGTTTATCCTGACGACGAACGTCGGAAATTGCTTCTCGGATCCTTTCAACATCCGCCCAGGAAAGCAAAGATGATCCTAATCCTTTGCGATCCCCTTGGGCGCTTGGAAAAGGCCTTCATGTTTCATCTCTATTGTTTCCAAGGGAACTTGGCAGAGGCAAAGCAACAGGGGCTTGCCTCGAACTTCACCTTTTTGGGAAGCCCGCGTGACGACACCTGTTTTGACAGCGCTTCTGTGCTGCTGACCGAGAGAGATGGTGAGTTGAAATCGTTTTGGCAGCATGCTGAAGTAGCCGTGCACGTGCCGAACCTTGCGCAACTCTTTCGTGGGCGAATGATTCTTTGTATGTCATTGTATGTACTGCAGTTATGGTGTTATTCTTTTCTAAACAACATCGCTTGTTGGTTTCGCGTGGTATTGTGGTTAAATTGATATAGAAACAAGCAAGATACACTACGTGGTTATATAATTGTGTTTTGACATTGTATTTGTTTTCTTACACAAGATTGGTAGATATCTCTTATTATATTAGGAGCTTGGACTAAACTACTAAACGTTGCAGATTTGTAAGCTTGATGTTGCATTCCACAACTTATTGGATTGACATCAAACACTACTAAATTGTGTAGACAATACAGGACATTCAAAGAATCCTACTTGTGATGCAATGAAATATGTATCACGAGTAAACGTTGACCAACTTGTTGGATCATGTTGCCATAATCATTATATAGAATCTGCTCAATTGGGTAGCCAGATGGTTCCACAAGCAAATCTCAACCATACGCTATACAGCATTGTTGTTTGTGCAGCATGTTGAACCGCTGCCTTCTCAGCACGTGTTGGTAGTTTGGAGCTCACATAGTCACGTGTTTTCTCTTAATGACTATGACCAGAATTGACCAGAGGTGTGGTTTGATATCGCCCGGTCGTTTGCACATATCTAAGGATGGTCGTGCACCAAGAGCAGCTTCGCCGGATTCCCAAGAATGTGTTCGCCTCATTAGCCCATTTCTTGAAGGCGAGGAGTCACCAGACGACCACCGAGACCATTGGTTTACAGAGGAGTCGCCATGAGTGGCCCGAACAGGTGCATTGTTCGTTTGCCCTTGAACAGTGTGAAGAACCACCTCGGATGCACTGCCCAAGATAGTGTATTAGATTGTCATGCGTCGAAGTCGGAGGTTCTTTTTTGCAGCACGGTTGACAAAGTTGAAGGTTGTATACAAGTTTGGACTTCATCCAAGCTATTATTGGGAGCCATCTTCCTCTTTGTTGTGCCTTTACATTCTCCGTTTTTTTTGCAGATTTCCTACGTCCTCCAACCTAGTAACGATGGCCTCCACCCTAGTAGCGATGGCTTCCACCCTAGTAGCGATAGCCTCCAACCCAATTACGTACCTCAACTCCGGACATGCCGATTTGGTCCTTGGGTGAAACCCTTGGGTGAAACATCCGTGGAGGTGAGCCCCGAGCTCATTCCGAGCTCTACTCGGCACAACTCCATCGGTGGGCATCGCACCGACCTTTGCACCTGTAATTGCAATGCCAGGAGCCCTTAGTAGCCATACCAGGAGCCGCTAGTAGCGTCCTTGCTCCTGGCTGCACCTGTAATTGCTCACATTTAGGACTTAGACACCCTACCAGCAAGGTGATAGATGAATCTCACGAGTATCAGTAGCAGTGCCGACAAATGATGTGGAGAACCGAAGGTGTTTGGTGAACCGCAATTCAACTGATTCAATCGTCAAGTGGCCCGAGCTGCCAAGGCCACAATATGACTCTTGTTAGAGCCTTGCATCGACGACTTCAGCGGGAGTATGACATGCAAGCTCAGTTGATGAAAACCGACAAGGTGACAGTGAGCCGGCTCAGAACTACCCGGTGCTCCGAAATCGATCAGGCCAAGGCAGTGCAATCCAAATCAAAGATGGAGGATTGGGAAGGGGCCATGTTGACTGAGCATGCCATTCAAACCGATTTATATAACCGTAATATAACCCCATTGTAGGTTGTGTCAGTCTGGAACAGCGTGGCTGGAAAGAACTTTGTGGACAGCATCCTTCAAGAATCTGTGACATCCCCGAAGGAGTCGTACTTAGAAGACACACCCTCAGCAGGAGGTAGAACATCAGTAGACTCAAGTTGATGACACTTTCAAGATTGTGGAAGCATCTTCCAAGTTCCAGCCATTCTTGGGGACTACCTGCAACCTCAGCCTTGCAGGCCACGTTTTGCCCCAACGCGGAATGTGCTTAGCACTCATGCCGAATGGGATAGACCGATGAGGAGCTGGTGGCTTGCGCAAGACGTCAGTGCTCAAGACACGATCGCCCAGGTGACGTTTGGTTTCGGTCATCCAGTCTATGATGACAATTGTACAGGTGTTGTGGGCCAAGCTTCTCCCTCATTGTGTCTTTTGGCTGCGGCAAAGAGATGAGTGAGCTCGGGATTCGGGTTGCACGACCATTCTGAATGCCAGGCTGAAGGCAGTTGCTTTGAAGAAAGGTTCGTTGACTACCTGTATGTCTATCACCTCAAGCGCAGGACTTGACAACGGCATGTAATCACCCGCTGCAATCTGAAGACACTGCTGAAGCTCTTGTCCTTGGCCATGATGTCTTGGGTTCACAGAGGTTGAATGCCATTGGTATTTCTGATGACACCAGCCAGACATCAATCAGTCGGAGAAGCAAAGATGGATGGGGAACTCATGTAGGCTATTGATGGGACTTCGGAAAAGGCACAAGCATGTTCCGAAAAAAGCTGGCGACCTTTTTTCGGAGGATCTTTTTCGTGTGCGCCGACGCATGACCCAAGTTTGGCTTCAGATGTACGGCTCAAGAAATAAGCTATAGATATCTATAGTCTCATATAACTGGGTGAAACTAGTCATGACTCATGGCTGTCACCCAATCATGCCATCGTTTTGGCAGACAGTGGTAGTTGCAAGTTGTTTTACAAGATCAGCACGAGTCTCACTAGGTCACTAGGTTGAGACCAAACCAAGCTTCAATTGGCCAACACACACCCACCCCTTAGGGGCGCGTATTCTCACTTGTCCTCAAAGTTATTGATGCAAGTCCGAGACCCAAAGTGCACAGACAGGCAACCTGCTTGAAGAATCTCAGACGGGAAACACGTCTTGCTGAAGCCGCCACCTTGCCATGCAGGAAGCGGCCGGTGCCTTAGCCTTAGCTGGTGCCAGTGGACACCATGTTACTGTATACTGTAGTGCCAGAAGAAGTGGTAGGCTTGTTTGAGCATGAGTGGAGGAGGTTCGAGGCGAAGCAAAACAGTTCATCATTAATCTTGATGTCTTGCATCTGACCGCAAGAAGTGTTTCCGTTTCTATGTTGCTCACTGCATTAGAGAATGCCAAGCTGGAAGAACCTGCTTGCTTTGTTTGGATTGCTGCTAGCTCTGAATGCTTTGAGATCTTGGAATGTCCAGGTCCCCAAACTTGCGTTCGATCAAGATGAATCTGACTATATATATATTATATATATAAATATTGGGAATTGAGCTCAAAAGACGAAGCTATCATAAGCGCAATTTTTGCGCTTCGTTCCTACTTGTGCTTTGTTGCGAGAGGAGAAGTCTTCAACCTCCAAGACCGACTTCCAAAGTCGAGACTCAACGTCCTAGAACCCACAGTTCTTTGAGGCAGACTGCCGTGGAGCTGTGCTCAGGCACCCCCGGCACCGAATATGGCAAGTGCGGAGGTACCCGGAGGTGCCAGTTCAGTGTTTAACCATGTTTGACGAATTCCAATGTCATACATTGGAGTTGGCAACTGTGGGGCCGGCCCACTCCTGGGAGTTTACTAAGAAGTGCTCGTTTCGATTTGCCGTAAACTGTTTGCCCAATTTGTACCTTCTGTATCCTTCTGTATGTTATTACCGCAGGGCATTTACAGTTTCAAGCTTTCCACGACAACGAACGTCTTTTGTACTCGTAGGCGGAGCCTTGAATTTTTTGAACCCGTCATTTGCCAACGAACGTCTTGGTGTGTGGGAGCACACGGGGATGACACTCAGGGGTGCCAGATTGACTGTAAGGGACTGAGATGGGATCAGGCAAGGGGTGACTCAGGGTTTTTTGGCTAACTGAAAGCTGTCTTTCATGTACTGAACATTTCAATAGGGCTGTTCCACTGCAGCGCGTTTCAAGCACATGGTCGACGCAGACTTCTTTCTGGTTGCCTCGAAAGAAAGGACAGTCCTAGTTGAGCTGGGTCTTGTCTTTGCCGCGTGTTGAAAGTCGGGCCTCTCACCCTCTACAAATCCGCATTCAAAACCCAATTGAAGCGCACTACTACTAAGTTGGTCAGAGGACATTGAATTTTTAATTGCATCATGTGAATTCTAAATGAGATGTTTGCTCTACAGTCGCAAGTCAACTCATCAATGTGACCAGAGCAAATAACTTCAAGCTTTTTGAGATGCTTCGATAACTGAAAGTTGAAGTTCCTTTGGGTGCCCAAACTATGAGGTTGAGAGCCCAGCTGATCAACGTGCTGCAAAAGCACTCATGGGCACCAAAGTGGCCAAGGCCCTTTGGCCCAGTTCTTGTGCGACTGGAGAAACAAAGCAGTCCAAGAAGCAAAGGAGGAAGATGGAGGAAGTCTAGGAGTCTAGGCTTTAGGGTTTAAGGACCAAGTCAAGTGCGCATTTCATTGATGAACACCGTCCCGTTTTGATCGGGCCAGGCCACAGAGGCCTTTGCTGAAGCCTTGACCAGCTGCATGAAGGCCGAAGAACGCGAAGAACGTGTGGTGAGATGAAGAGGGGCAACAAGATGATGACAGGGCAAGGATGGACAAGGGCCCGAAATCGGGCTTCTTGCACATCGCGTGGACTTCAAACATGGCTTCGGCCCATGGTTTGCACATGTTCACGGGCAGAAGCACCGGGGTTTTGATTTAGTGTCCTTTTGGGGGGGGCCTATTCATCCATTGGGTCGGCTCGTCAGAAGGGTTAATGACGCGATGCAGAGGTAGTGTCAAGAGGTCCAGAGGCCAAGGGCCAAGGAAGGCCAGGGGCTATCTTGAATTAGAAGCTGCTTTCTGAAGATTCAGTAATTAGCACATGGAGGCATTTACCGAACAATTGTCCGAACAATATATTCCATCAACCACAACTTCCCTGCGTCAATTGGAGTGCGACAGCTTGGGTAGAGGGCCCACTGGAGAGTCCAACACGCGGCAGCTCACGTCGAACTGACCGAACTGAACGGGGCCGCGTCTCGCGAATCGATGGTGATCCCCATGCTTCGCACACGACGGGTATGCAGAGAACGTTCGTTTGAATCGAGGTCCCGCCTGGTTGGGCAGCTGAGATTCATCGAGAAAGCCGAGAAACGTTGGAAAAAGCGAAGGTCTGCCTTGGACCTGGCCTGGCAGATTGCTAGATGTTATCTTTACAGAACGCTTCAGACCATATGCTTCTACGGATGATGCGAGGGTGTTTCAGACATGTTTCTCACACAGGAGACCTGGATCTGTACCTAGACTCGACATCATCACTCATGATATGTCCACCATTGTGCTCCAAAACCTTGATGCGTTGTCCACCCGGTGAAGCCGGCGGCTTTGCGGGGGAACCCGGGTTCCGACCGCCTCCGGTGGTGCGTTGGCGCACCATGCGAAGCAACTCCGACGCTTTTCCCACCTCGAGGGCCGCAGCTCATCCGGCGCCAAGTCCAACACTGTCCAACACGGCCTGCGACACCTGGAGAGAACCTGTAAGACGCCTGTTCATATAGGACATGTGCAAAAGCTTGGAAGAGTTGGACCAAAAAGAGGACAACCAATTCTGCTATCAGACTTTAATGAGAATAACATTGATACCAGTGAGTGCCAATCAGCGAAAATGAACCAACCCGTCATTGACAGTCTCCTGGAGCAGATTGGAGATTGGAGACCCATCAGCAGCGGTGGAGTTGCTTTGTGCACCATGGATCTGCCATAGGCAGGCCACTTTTGCGTCGGGCACTCAGAGAGCTGTTTGTGGGTATGCGTATGCCACTCTTGGGCAGCTCAACTGGGCCAGCAGTTTGCCGGCCATCCTGCCACCCAAAACGAAGACGTTTGACGTGGACATACGTTCCATAGTTCGCGCAGATCCTTCGTTCCATCAGGGATGGTGGAAGCCTTCGAGACCCTAGCGACAGCGCCCAAGCGCAAGGCGTGGCTTCGCAAATGACCGAAGAACGGCTCCGAAAGGGGCTCCGAACCTGGGCCTTTTTTGTAGCCAAGTCATTTGCTTGTTGGGCTACCAGCCCTTGGTCCATGTATATACTTGGTCCGAACTTGCTACCTGGTCATTTGGGGTTGTGCTTTACTGCCACCTCCGAAGGCTGTCCCATGCCCTCCAGGCCAAGTCGTTGAACGATGAGGGAACCCAACTGTCGGAGGCTTAGGGACGGGTAAAGAGGCCGAGTGCCGGAGTGCGGAAGTTCTTCTGGAAAGAAGAGTATCCTTATGGGCTCGGAGGTCTGTTTGCTTTGTTTGCTTGCACCGGAAAAGAAGGCCTTTGTTGTTGAGCTTGGAGGGCAAAGGAGGTCTGTTTCGGGCGGCCTGGGAACCTAGAGGAAGACTGCCAAACAGAAGACATGGAGGCGAAGAGGTAGAACCTCCACAAGGATCCACAAAGCTCGACCGTTCCTTCCAGAATTCGTCGTACTGCAGTGGCACGCAACTCAGACGTCTTGGAGTCTTGGACCTATGCCTACGCCACTCCCCGGCCTTGAAAAGACTTTGTGAGTGTTGGTTTACAAATACTGAAGCTATCTCAAGCTATATGTAGAGCAGCAGCATGCAGGAGCTGCTCAATCTTCTGGCATTCCTTTGACTTTGACATTGGTACAACTGTACCCGTACCATGACGGAGCACTTGTGCCTCTAGCGTTTTTGCGTTGATTCATGCTCACCTCTTGCCATTCATAATTTGATGGCGGCCCTGCGTTGCCTTCAGGTGGTCCTTCATGTGCTTTCCGGCTGAGACCATGTGCTGCTTCCAGGACCCCACGTCGACGACGCGTCGACGCCACGTCGACCAGACCACGACGGTGGTTTGCGGATCATGTCCCGAGATGTTCAGAGCTCATTGAATTGGACCGGTTCGTAGCCAAATAACTGACAAATGCATAAAAGTGCTTCAACTGTAGAGGTTGCATGAGAGAATCATGTCGGATCCGCTTTGCCAGGAGGAAGAATTTCGGGCAGATGAGCTGAGAGCAGCTGGTCTCTTGAGCAGCTTGGCTCACGATCTCACTGTCGAATCCCGCATTACTGTAATACTGTAAATCCTCCAGCTACCTTCAAATGAGCATTTCTACATTATTCCAATGCACCTGACCCATTTTCTGGGTGGTCCATTGGAGCGAGGGAGCATTGAACGTTGGAGACGTCGCTTTGCAGTAACAAGTGATCCGAAGAGTCGAGTCACCCTGAAGATCGAAGTTCGTCTTTGGACACACGAAGAGTTGTGTTTGGAGCACTGAACAGCTTGGCGTTCCAAGCAAGATGTAGACCAAGAGATGAGTGTTTTGTTGGGGGTTCTGACTTCGGGAGACTTGTCAAGGTACTGGTGAAGATGTGGCTCAGGAGGCCTGAATGAACCAATGCGTAGTGTGACAGATGGCAGTTGTGAGTGAGAATGTCCAGTCAGCTGTTTAACATGCGGCGGTGGGTCAGAGTTGGACACCAAGACCATGATATCTTTTGAACGACAGCCAATTCACAGACCCTTTCAATCAAGATGTGCCATTTGAGGAGGTGTCCAAGGCAATTTTGCTGTACTTTGGTGTGCCTTTGCGTGTGAAACTGTCAATGCTTTGTTCGATATTGG